CAGGCTGGCTGGGGAATTCTGGGAGTTGAAATCCAGACATCTGAAAGTTGCCAAGTTTGAGAAACACTGCTTACAATGAAAGCAAACAATTGCAGCACTGTCCTCCATCCACACAAGCCAACAAGCCATCCTAGCTAAGGTTGCTCTCAGGTCCTTAAACCTTTGCTGATGAGGCATTACGGGGTAAGTCTTCTGTTCTGCCATAATCAACAAACCAGTCCACACCAAAGAAATAAAAAAGAAAACTTTACCAGAAGCTACGTGCTGTCCTGAGCCTGGAAAGATTGAAATGTCCACGGCTGTAACCGAGAAGTGAGAAGATTGAGTGAATGCTGCCTTTCAAAGTCTGACTACCCTTTTCATCCTTTGGTGTTCCAACTTATTATTATAGGGAGTGGATTTCCATGATGTCATTGTTTCAATTCTTCTGCCTGTTGCTGTTATTATCATCATCATTTTTATTACTGATTCCTGAATTATTAAGTATTTGAGACTTGCTCTTTTGAAGTACAGAGACTATGAAATGAGTTGGATTTGTGAGCAACAGATAAGCAAGAAAATGTTTAAAATTCCCAAGATTCAGTCATCTCCACTGAAATAGAAACAGAAATGTTTCTGGTAATGACAATCAGGCAAATGAAAATCTTGATAACCATAAGTTGCATCATATTGCAAGTGATGGAAGTAGGAAATAGAAAGAGTTGCAAAACTTTACAAAGAGCAGCCAAACTTTCTCTCTTTCTTGGGATGCTCACGTTCACAAGCAAATTTCAGCATGCTTGAAACAGTGCCAGTTTCAGCTATGTAGTAAGATCTATATGCATTCTGGGTGTATAAACTAGCAGTGATGTGAATGTCAGCCCTTCAAGGTAGGCAAGGTCCAGAAACAGAAGCAGCTGTTTCCTTCTTTCCCAGAACTGAGTAATATTTTCTGAAACCCTTCTCTTAACTGTTTGCTCATCCCTTCCCCATTCGTTTGCACCCCTCCATTAGAATCACTCCTTCCTCCTGTAAGCAGTTCATCAAGGTCAATGGACAAGTCTGATAGGGAAGATCCACATGGAGCTGAAAAGCATCCCCTTCTTTTCATGTTGCATGGCATCCAAGGTGAAAGGAAGCAGGTGCCCTCTTCTTCCCAGAGAGTATTTTTTGGTGAGTCTGGAGGCAGTTCAGGAGGATGGGCTTTGGGAGTATTTCAGGTGGAATTGGCAGACCAGTGATCATTTTCTCTTTCAAAAGGTCAGGGTAGGCACTAAGGGATCTGCCACACTGGATTTGGTCCTTCCTAACAGGGAGGAGTTAATCAAAGGTATGAGAGGGGAGCACATCATCATGAATAATTGAAGTTCATGATTATAACAAAAAGCTTGGTAAAACATTGATCAAACATAGACCACATATTTTTAAAAATCCAATTTTAATAAACTAAGAGAAGTAGTTGGTTGGTAAGGTGCCATGGGGAGAAAACCTTAAAGCCAAGGTGTTGTATATGGCTGGGACATCTTGATAACAGAGTCTCAAACAATGCCAAAGAGGAAGAAAGCTAGTAGACATCTACTGTAAAGGAGCCAATGTGGTTAAGAGGGAACTCATGATGGAAAGATTACGGCAAGTAGTGGGGCATTTTCAGAAGTCCTTAAATGAAGAGTGGGTGTAGGTTTCCTTATTGCAGTCTTAGTAGCAAAACAACTGGCAAAAATTTCAAGGCTCCTCAATGCATATTTAAATGTACGGGTAGTCCCCAGTTTAAGGATGAGTTCCGTTCCCAAGGTCTATCCTTTGGTCAGATTTGTATGTAAACCAGAACAGTATCATTGTATAATACTGTATAAGTAATGTTGTGTAATGAACTTGAACCATTGTGTATTTAATGTGCATCATTGTGTAACTCAAATTTTGCTACAATAGGCTCCGTTCTTAACTATTCTTAACCCGGGAACTACCTCTATCTTGGCTTCCTGCTACTGTCACCACTTGTCAGGCTTAATAAATGAGAGTAAGAATCCTATCTTCTAAAAGAACATGAATATCCTTTATGTTTCTACTATACAGCTACTCCTAGAAATTGTACTTTTTAAATATCTCTTTAGTTATCCCAATGAGAACACATTGAGTTTAAAACAACTAGGTTTCCAAGCTCATATCAAAAGACCTCAAAGGTAAACATTGTCTTGACACACAGCACTCCACCCAATGATTTCTTGCATTACTGCCAAAAGGTTGGCACAACATACTGATGATAAACTAAGGCAAGGAGTTGTCCTGGAGAAGAATCTGAGAAGACCATGCCTCTTACAGTAGGTAGGCCAAAAACAGCAGGCAGGAAACTCAGATCATAACCTTCTCTAGAAACAGTAAGAAGAAGTCAGATCTCTTTTCAACATTAACATTCAGCCTCCTAGTTTTGGTGCATCCAATACCCTTGAAAAAGCACCCTAATACTATAGAAATAGCACAGGAGCTGGAGGGAGAAAAGGTGTATTGAAAAGCTTTTCACACACACAGTACAACAGTGTCAGTTTAAGGTCTCACAATACACGTCTTGTCAGTCCCCACTTGAAATGATAACTGGGCACCAGGGTATTCTGTGGGTAAGTCAGGTAGCAGACCATACGTGGGACATGATGGGCTTTGGTCTCTACTTGTTCAGTATATTAGATATTGTAAAAAATCTGCAAGGCTAAGCGGTGCCTATTAAGTTATTTTTTTTCCTCCTGCCGCCTCCTGAGCTGCTAGACTCAGGAGATAAGGAGCCTGCAGCCCCCCTTTTTCAATGCAAACAGCCTTTCCGTTCTGACTAGCAATCCTGCACTCTTCCTGATGACGAGTAGCTTCCCATCAATAGATTTATTGATTCCTCTTGCCATCATTAGGTTTATTGCATGCAGCTTGGGGAGCAGGAAGTACCCCTTGAAAGTACCCCTTTCACACATGAAAGCAGAAATGCCAGTCTTGTTACCAATCATTACTCTGGCACTGTTTCCTGGTGCAGGATGGGAGGGAGAAGCTGTTGACTATTATAAAGAACCAGTTATCTAACCCATACTTATAACCCATATAGCCTATTATTATACAACAGGGCCTCTCCCACCGTCTGTTGTGGCTGACTGGAATGAGAGCGCCTCTGCATAGGTATGCTTCTTCTAACACTTAATGAAGCTTTGCATGTTGCTGTTAGCCTGGCGTCCATTGTTCATTATCTCTCTGGAATCTCCTCTGGTGGGTAGCAATAACAGGTAATTAGTGCCCATCCAGGGGAAAAAAATCATGAGACAAAGTTCATTAGAGAGCAGGATTTTTTTTCATCTTCTTTAATGAGAACAAAAAGAATTACAAGTACTCCAAGAAAGTAAAATAAGGAAATAATGTACAGACTAGCAATTAAAAAGCTTTGCTACCCCAGACCAATTTATACACTCTAAGCCTTACATTTCAAACGAATTCCACCCCAATATATGCATAGTGTTATGCAATTTAGAGCATAGCTGGGAGAGGGATTCTGGGAAGAAAGTGGTTGAAAAAGATGTCACATGGTCTCTGTGGTGGTGTCTTCTTGTCTCTGGGCTATGTTTCATGTCACGGGAGCTACGGGAGTTACTATAAGAGCAGTGCCTGTTAAATATGCATGC